TTTGATCTGATCTTGTTCGTGCAACCCAAGACGTGATTTGCGGTCAGCCGTTCATGGTCAACCAGATCTACATAAACTTTATTTGCCGTACGTTCTCTACGTCAAACCTTTAGATCCGCTGCGCAAAGGTTTATGTTTGCTATTGAATTCGAGACTTGTACACAACGAGATCCTCACAGATCCCAACATTCCCAACTAGTCGATTAGCTAGAAAAAATGACCACGGTTGCTCGTGGTTAACTGGACCTATTCTTTCTAATAGTTTCAATTCAGTCCGCATGGAATAAGAATCTGGACAAAGCTATAGCTTCTTCAAGCGATCAATACAAGTTAGAGGTTTAGAAAATTTGTTTTCTTTTCCTTTGAGTAACTTTTTATTGTATTGATATCCATATTTTTTTGTTTCTTTATTTGGTTAGTGTGCATATTTTAAAAATTACAGATCAAATGTTATCCATTTTTTTTCTGAATCCTTATGCGCCTGAAGAAGGGATTGCCAAGAAGGAATATTACTTGAGTAGGTTCAGGTCTTGATGTATAAAAATCCAGTCTTGAATGAACAAACTTATTGTTGGTCAATTTTTTTCTCGCCGGACATGGTTGTGCAAAGTTGGAATGTGGTGGCCAGATGGGGGGAAGCACCGCCATCAGGAGCGGTCTGTGGGATGAAGATTGCGTTTTCCCGTACAGTTTTCGGCAAGGGCAGATTTACTTTCATTTGACAATAAACCTTTGTTTTTGAGGTTTCCTCAATCGACGGTGTGTATATTGGCTTAGGATTATCATCGTGAATGTTTTCTGTTTAATTTTGTATTGATTTAGGATTATCATCGTGAATGTTTTTTGCTTAATTTTGTGTTTGTTTTTGTTTTAGATTAAGGGATCTCATGAAAATTCCTTAGTTTTACTTTTTATATGATGTAATTGACATATTGTGTGCCCAAATTTTGATTCAATTTTTGCATTTGGTTTGTAATTGCATTTTTTTCTCATTATATTTTATTAATCTAAGAATTCATTTTCGACATATTTCATAAATAATAGTACGAAGGTTATAATGATTTATATATGATTAATGTTTATAAGTTAAATAGTAAAATGGATAGTTAATTTATATATGGAGAAGAATATTAAAATTATTAATAAAAAAACTAGGCCCAATTTCTCTTTAATTTTAGGTAATTGTTGTAATTTGTTTATGAATGTAGATAGTGACATAAGTATTTTTATGATATTGAAATTGAAACTCAAATTATGTCACAAAAGAAAAAAAAAATCTTGATACTGATGGTTTTTTTATTTATCGCTTACGAGTAAATTCATATTAGAGTAGGAAAAAAAAAAGAATCAAATTATTGAAATGTAACCAAGAAAAGATTGACGTAAGTCGTCAATGGGAAGTATTTTTTTACCGTTGATTTTGGCAAAAGATCTTACATGAAATTCACTGTATCTCTAGATTTAATATCAACTAACTATAGCAAATTTTGGTATGTATTATACAAACATTTTGTAAACATTATCTTACAATAATATATGATTTTTCAATTGTATTTATTTTCTTTCCATAATGAGATGTTTAAATATAAATAATTATATTTAAATAAATATAGAAAAAAAAATCAAGGAACAAGTAGATCCAATCTTACATGAAATTCGTAATATCTCTAGATCTAATTTCAACTAATTATAGTAAATTTTATTATGCATTATACACACATTTAATTTGTAAACATATCTTACAATAATATATGATTTTTCATATATAGTGTTTCTTTTATTTTTATAATGAGATGTTTAAACATTATTGAAATTGTTGTTTTTGGTGCTTTCATCCCTTTCCCTTTTCCTATTGGTTTATGTAATGTGATACAGTTGATTGTGACAAAACTATCAGTTCATGTTCTTGAATGGAAGATACTTACTGAGGATCACAAAGGCGAGAAGGTGTTGATTCCTAGAATGGCTATTACTCCTTCCGACGTCACAATTTCTTTTAAATTTCAGAGGCGACAATTTCTGATTATGGTTTCTTATGCCATGGCTATCAACAAGAGCCAAAGACAGTCGTTATCGCATGTTGGTTTAATTCTTAAGAAGCCGGTGTTCAGTCATGGTCAATTATATGTTGTTGCCTCCCGCGTCACCAATCGAAGTGGATTGAAAATATTAGTCTGTAATGACAATGACGTGCCACCAAATCAGACCCAAAATGTTGTGTACAAAGAAGTGTTTACTAATTTATTAAGTTTTTAATTTGTTTTTTTTTTCTATTTTACATTTGTTACATATATACAAAGTGCATTAAATTTAATGTTAATGTTAAAAAGTTTTAAAAAACATACCATCCCGTGCATCGCACGGATCAGTACTAGTATTTATATAATTATAAGGTGGACTAAGGGTGTGTTTATGTAATTATAAGGTGGACTAAGGGTGTTGTGGTTTAATAGATGAAATATGAAATAATATAGTGAGTGTCATGATAGAATAATTAGGGTGCTTTGTCTGAAAAATGAAATAGAAAATATTTATGTAATTATTTGATTATGGAGGATAGTCAAAAGGTGGATTAAGGGTGTTGTGGTTTAATAGATGAAATGTGAAACGATATATTGTATGTAATTATCTCATTGAGGTACGACTACAATACACCTCACGTAGGACAACTCAAAATAATAATATAATTGTAAAATTAAGTTATTTGTAGGACAACTTAAAATAATAATATAACTGTAAAATCAAGTTATTTGTTATTTGTTCATATTCAAATTGTACATATTTTTTTAATTTGGGTAACCAGTCAGCTTAAATCATCGTTGTCATGTAGGATAACTCAAAATAATAATATAGTTGTAAATTTGTTCATATTCAAATTATATATATTTTATTTGTTATTTGTTCATATTTAAATTGTATATATTTTTTTTGATTTGGGTAGCCCATCAGCTTAAATCAGTTAACATAGAAAATCTTGTAGTTCTTGAACAGATAATATTAGATCAATTTAGAGTTTCTGAGTCAGACCAATGTTGCCTAGTCAATTTTCCCGTGTGAATGCAGTCCAGCCTTGCCCTCAAAAAATTGAACGAGGCCCTCTTAATGAAGCTATGGTGGACCATGCTCACTAAGCCTAATACGATGTGGGTTCAAGTGATGTGCGCTAAATATAACTTGCGACCGCAAGAGATGGCTGGAGAGTTCACGTTCCCTAAAGGGTCGGTGTGTCTAACCGCCTTGGCAAGAGTTTGGCCACACGTCAGAAGGGGTGTTCGTTGGGCCTTGGGGAATGGCAGGCAAGCTCGGTTTTGGTTTGATATATGGCTCAACGTGCAAGAACCTTTACTAAACGTGGCCACCGGGTGCATTCCGACGGAGCAGCTCCACGCTCCTGTGGCGGATTTCGTCACGGCGGCGGGTGAATGGTGGTGGTCAAAGTTCGAAGATCTCTTGCCGGCCACAACCTTGCTGTTAGTTGCGGCTGTCTTACCACCGCAATCCTCGACAAGAGCTGACCGATTGATATGGGGATACACGCCGAACGGCAATTTCTCAACGAAGACGGCTTACGAAGCTTTGACGCAGGTGGCCACCGATCAGGCCCGTCCGCTGTGGCGAGCTATCTGGCGGGCGCCGGCGGCCCAACGAGTTCGTCAATTTCTGTGGGTGGCGTGTCATGACCGACTATTCACCAATATGGAACGGGTTCGTCGGCACATGGCTGTGGATGTAGCGTGCTATTTCTTTGGACAGCCGAAGTCGACTTCCCACGTGCTGCGTGATTGCCCCAACGCAAGGAGTATTTGGACTGCGGTGATGCCGCCTGCTACCCGACGAGAATTTTTTTCTCAAGAGCTTAGGGAGTGGATTGGGTCGAATTTGATGGGTTCTGGCCAAGAGGGGACGGTGGGCTGGACAACCTTGTTTTCCATAACGTGTTGGCGCATTTGGCATTGGAGAAATAGGGCTATTTTCTCGAATGAATTTTTGCCTCTTGGAGTAAAGGTTCAAGATATTAGGCGACGTGCGGACCGTTATATGAGCAGCACGTCTTATGAGGCTACGTTGGGTATCCGGGATCGCTTCTATGAAGAGATTTTGATTCACTGGTCTCCTCCCCCGGAGGGCTGGATTAAAGTTAATACGGATGGCGCTCTGTGTCCAGCTTCTGGCAGGGGTAGTGTAGGAGGGCTAGCTCGGGACTCGAATGGTCGCTGGCTCGGCGGATTCCTTATGAATGTGGGTTTTTGTTCTATCACTAGGGCAGAACTGTGGGGTTTGTTTCAAGGACTTCGCCTGGCGTGGGAATTGGGAAATCGGCAAGTGTTGGTGGAAGTGGATAATAGTAGTGTCGTAGCCATGGTCACGAGGACTGATGATAATCTTGGTCTCCATGGAACTCTTGTTCAGGCCATTCGCGAGCTATTAAGACAGGAGTGGTGTGTTCGTTTGTCCCATATCTATCGGGAGGGGAATTTCTCGGCCGATAAACTAGCTTCGCTAGCTACTGATGTTCCGGTTGGCTATCACCGACTTCTGACCCCACCACAGGACCTTGGCCATTGGCTGAATCATGATGTCTTAGGCGTGGCTCACCCACGTCGTGTGTTGCGCTAGTATCCGTTAGGCTTAGGCCTCTTATCTTGTACCAAAAAAAAAAAAAATTGAATTTTTGTGATTTAAAAAATTGATATCTCAGCTCATCATCTCAGGACTACTTTTATTCCTACTTTTATTGGCATTCTGTATATAACC